ATATCTTTGGTATACTGAGTAATGACTAACATTTGGCACAATTTTCTGTGGAATTATACCTGAGATACACAGTTTCATCTTAGGTAACTATATTTCCATGAAATGGTCATTAGAGACCTCTCAGAAACTTTGCTTGTTTAGAAGTAATAATTTATTTATGTGTTTGCTTAAGTTTGCCAGGCACTAGGAACTAACAGCTTTGCAACTGTTCCCAGTGTGAAAATAAGATCTTAAAAATATGATTGTCTGGCTCTGCTGGTTAGCTGAACACTGTATGTGTTTAGCAAACTGGAAGAAAAAGATGAACTTGCAACAACTTTAAATACTGTGATAATATTAAAGAGAGACATACTTAATTGTATTTCTGTAGAAGTGTCAGAGAAGACGAGTTGTAGTGAATACCAGAAAATTTGAGATTCAGTTGAATGGGTGAAACTAAATCTGATGCTGTTACCAATCCAACTGTTGTTTAAAAATGGGAGGTTGGTAGACTTCATTAGATTTCTAACACTGTTTTAAATAGCTCTTGTAATAGACAATACCTCTGAACATATGCATAATAAGAAAGTAGTTTGCCTTGATCAGACATCACAATGAATGTAAAATTAATTTGCAGTATTAGTACACTCCTGAAATTACAGTTTTATTCATTCAGAGCTCTGGATATATTGCTGACAGTCCCTGTGTTTTAATTCTGCAAAAGTCATGACTAGAAATTGCAAGGAGAACAAAACATGCTGATTATCCAAAAATCAATTTCATTGTTAACTGTGGGGAAATACTGAAATGAAACTTTACTCACAGAAAGCAGAGGTAGTGGCATATTTATGCAGTGGTGCCTGCTAAATTTGTTTCTTCTTTATTAATTTTCTTGGCTGAGAATGAGGGCTCAGATATGAAAAACAGAAGCTACCCTTTTCTGTTATTATTTCACACTATAACATTAATTTTCTTTCTATATGTACCAAGGTCTTTATTTCTTTAGATTACTGGGAATCTTACTTTGTCCTCCCCAAGAAACATACTTGTGAAACTTGCTCAAAGTTACTAAACAGGGTTTGCTTATGTGCTCCTGATGAGCAGGGTGGTCAGGCAAGCAAGAGTGGGTAATAATTAAAGCAGCAGTTGTACTGTTGCTGCTATAAGAAAATCCTTGTTTTGGAGATGTAACTGTTCATGCCAGAATGAAATTATTCTAGTCTAGGTATGTTTTAATTTAGTGCCAGGTATATAAGCTTCATAGCAATTAAAGTGAAGTGCACGTGTTAACACTTCCAATTTTCTCTGTGCATGGAAAATGATGTCCTAGTAAATGACTTATTTTCGTTCAACTGTGAATGAGGGCTCTGGGAACTGTGAGATCTTTCTGCTGTGCCTTGGTGAACTGAGAAGTCTGTCTAGATTGTAGCTGTATCATAGCACATATTGCAAAGTATTGCAGAGTTTTGGTTTGCAGGCTACGGTGCTAAGACAGTGCCAGGTTCCATATGTGCTCTGTGTGTGGGGGGGTGTTTGTATGTATATGTATGAGGAGTCACTTGCTCAGGTGGTCAGCAGACTTGCCACTGGAAGATGAGTCACAGGTATAAGATGTTTCTGTCATATAGCATCCTGGTAAGGGATTGGAGAACTGAAAACTCAGTTCCTTTCCAAGAATGGTACAACTATGCTGGCTTTTTATATATTTTAATGAAATCATCAAACCAAAACTGGTAAGGAATTACAGTGGAAAAGGTGGTAAATACAGATTGTTCCTTGAGTGGCTGAGCAAATGAATTATACTTCTTTATGGATCTGTGTTTTGTCATTGAATGCCCTAGTGTTTAATAAGGTCAAAACATTTCCTGCAGTTGGGGGATTCATAATAGCTCTTTTAACTGTGGATTGTCCAGAGTCTAATCGGAGTGAAATTCGCTTTAAACTTTTGCCATAATGAATGCACTAAATTGCAAAAATATCTTAAGAAGCTTTTTTAACTTCAATAGCATGGATATAGATAATGTACTGATACTTCACAGTTGACAGCTCATCTGTTGCCATCTAGTGGAAACAAATTGACCTGGGAAGAGATTTTGAAAAATAATGGCAAATTGCTACTTGAAAACTGCAACATAAGAGAGACAATCATAAAAATAGATTTCTTCTGCAAAATATAACAATAGTTTCATTAGTAGTTTAATAACATGAATGATAAAATAATTCAATCTGAATGTTTTACAGTAGGAATACCTAAATGCTAATTTAGTAGAGATTAGCAAAAAATTGTTCCTGTGCTGATTTCCAGTGTGGGAAAGATGATAATCTATAGAAAACATGAGTATGAAGGGTGAGAAACGCCAAAACAAATCATACTTATTTATAATAACTTAAAAATGTATTCCTTCTGGTGCTGTATGCTTGATATGTCTTTACTTTCTTAAAACAAAATTTACTTTATAGTTATAGTAGCTTGACATTATTAAATGCTTTTTAAGATACAATTTAATGCATTTGAAGGGATATTAGTGATTAACAAATATTTCTGTCTCTCTGGTCTTCTGGCTGTGTCTTCATTATAGAGAGGAAAATACACATTCAACTTCCTCTTAGCTCACCTGTAGCTACTAGTCCCAGATAAAATCCTCATTAAGCCAAAGTGTTTGTAGTTTTCAGCCAAGTTAGCCAACAGACAGGTAAGCCCTTGAAGGAAGGTCATTAATTGAGATATTGATGTGTGCCCTATGGGTTTTCAGTGACAATGTCTAAGTTCCCATTTTTTGTTCTAGTGCAGAACAAAAAATATAAGTCAAAACTTCTGTGTTTCTTGCAAGATGCAGTTATGATTTTTATTAGTGTTTTCATCATATACTGGGGATTCCCTGGTGGTCTAGTGGTTAGGATGTGGCGCTCTCACCGCCACAGCCCAGGTTCGATTCCCGGTCAGGGAACTTCTCCAGGCAGATGGAACTCGTCAGCCCTGTAAGGCCATCCATCTAAGAGAAGGTCACTCTAAACAAACCTACGTCCTGAGGACCTCGCTGCCACCGTCCAAACTCTCTCGGCCCTGGCAGATGAACCTCAGGATTAAAGGGTGGGCTCAGTTCAGTGCACACTGTGTCTCACCTAAAAAATCCACTGCGCGGGCTCGAAGGGTAATGACCTTTCCCAAATCTTCGTTCGCGAAGACTGGCCATGACTGACTACATCATATACTGATGAAATGAAAAGGACTTTACATTTTGCAGTTCTGGTATCACTTCAGTGTATGACTGAGGAGAAAACAGTGTTGAAATATTGAAAAGTGCCTGCTTATTTACATGAATCTTCTTTGAGATAGAAGAATGGCCATGGGTTTCTGGAGACAAAAAGTGGTCTGAACCAAGTTTACTCAACTTTTGATATAGTTTCTTTTCTACACTCAATGAAAATTTGCATTCAGAGTCAACAGAAACATGATTTAAGCCTATACAGTAAATTAAGGTTTAATATTATATCTTGAGTATTGCGGTTATTTCCTTCCCTAGTATTTGTATCTAGAGATTTTTTTTTTCTCTGAATAGATTAGGGAAGAATACTTTTATGCTAATCTACTGCAATCTCAGTACTTTGTCAGTATGATCTCTATTGACCTGCTCTGTTCCTGGTCTGCCAAGAATATTTCTTTCTTTAGGACCTAATCCCAACCACATATCACATTTGTGGGTTACCATAAAACAGTTTCCTTGCTTTCTAGCTGTACTTGTGTTCAGCCATAGGTCAGATTGCACCAATAAAATAGTGGAGATTTTCTGTACTTTATTTCCTTGCTAGCACTGAGTCAGTTCCTTTCTTAGGCCACTTTGGAGCTGGGATGAGATGGTGGGGTGCTAGACATTTGTTTGAAACGTGCTCCCCAAGAAAGAAAAGAGAACTACAGTGGTGTATCTCGGTCCCTTGACTGACCAGACTCAGTGTTTTTTAGAAAATGCTACCACTTTTTTTCTCCTATGTGACCTTTCTGTGCAGTCAAAATCTGGAGGGTCAGGGGACATATACAAGGCCGACATTTGCTGCAGGACAGAACCATATGGCAGCCGGAATATGGATGTAGAACTGCAGATTTGCAAGTACTTTTGGGTACCATCATTAGATATGTGGGCTGCAGGCTGCTTGGTTATTGAACAATATATAACCCCCCAAGTATTTTCCTTAGAATGTAATTTTACAGATCAATGCCAAGAAGAAGAGACAGGGAGAAGCAATAGGAAGGACGTGGGTTTTGTTTTTAAGGAAAGAGGAGGTTGGGAATGTGTTTGAGGTAGAACGGGAAGATGGAACAAATTTAGATTTATGTTCAGTGCTGCACATTCATAGAGGGAAACCTTAGATTAAAAGCTGAAATGGGAGAAGTTCTGCCGCGCAATGAATAGTGTATTAAGAGATGTGTAGCACAGTGAGGTTGTGAAACTAAAGTGTGTCTCAGTGCTCTCACACAGAAACTATTATCAGCATGGTCACCAAAGGGATGAGTTTGGACTTCCATTTTTATTTCACTGTAATACTCTTCAGATGTAGAAACTTAAAAAATAGCTTTCTAATTTGAAGGTGAGAAAATCATATTCCTTATTTTCTGAATAGTAGAGTGGCTCTATTATAAGTGGATTTGATGTAAAACTTAGCCTGTAAAAAAACCCCCAAAACAGTTATTTCCCCGATTCAAATGAGTAAAATAACCACCACTACAACTTAAATTTTCTCTTACAGATTTTGGCCTATTTCAAAATTGGTCCACTTTAGGCAAGAAGGTGATGGGGTCTAAGCTAGGTTGTTCCTTATTTGTTTATCCACTATGTCTGAATGTTAGGCTGAGGTACCTAGGTTTGACTGGCCAAAAAAACACTACTAAATATTTCCATGCTTCTGCTTTCCATCCTGTTTAGTCACCCTTGTAAAGTCACTTGAGGTTTTGTATCTATGACAGAGCAAGTAATAATTAGCAGTGATTCCGAACAGAGAGGAAAAGAAGGCTTAGAAGCATTGCATTTAATTAAAAAAAATGGATTCTGACTTTATTTGCATAGCCAAGTGATTTAATTCTGTACATATTATCTGCCAGAGATCCTTTCATAATGTTAAGTAATGAAATCTGAAGACACTATGGGTTATTATTTTGGTATATATGCAATGTTCAATGTAAAGTGGTTTCATGACGAGAACTGAAATGAGACACAGATGATTCATTTACACATTTATTTACTATCCTGCTTGTTCTATCAGACTGAAATGGAGAACAATGCATTTATTTTACAGACAATTGACATAAATTAAACAGATATTTTGATGTTGAACAATTGTACAGACTACAACATGCATATTAATATGTAGATTGGTGCAGAAATATTTAGTTGATCAGCAAAATCTATTATGACAAAAATAATAATCACATTTCCTTTCTTATGAAGTTAAAATGCAGCTGATATGGAGACATTGATACGAATATCACTAAATGTGAGAAGTTATTAGTCTAGTGAAATCAAATGGTTAGTTGAAAAAATAAAGCTATTGCCAAAGTCTTATCTACAGAAAGAAACTAAATCAAAATGTTTCTAACAAATACAATAATAATGAAAAAAGCATGTTTGATGCAATTACCATTGCAAAATGCCCTATTATTCCCCTGCCCCACCCCCAAATACAAACAACGCATGAAGCAAAAGCAGCATATTCTCCCACAAAATGTCTGGGGCATTTTGTAAAGGCAGATGAATGAGATTAGACAAGACTTATCACATATGCTTTTATCTCCTAGTGACAGTACTTTTAAAGAAAGACATGTTAATAACATAGCAATTTATGATGAAATGTTGCTAAATCTGTAAAACTGAACAATAGTGAAGACACTACTACGCCCCAAGAGAACTTGAAAAAATACTGTTGTGCTTTTTTTGTTTGCAGCATTCAGAGCATTCACAGAGGAATACAAAGTAAAGTTCATTAAATTCAATAAAACTAATAATAGTCATGCTACCGTATCTATGAAACTAACACAGTAATAATGTATAAACATGAATTAGTACACATTTTTAGTTGATATTTACAGTGATCTTAAAGCAATAGGCTATGTATTCAATGCTCAGCTTCTTTGTACACTAATCCCTCCATGTTTCATCTTATCAGCATGGCTTCTTTGACTTTTGAAAGAGTTATATAGGTAAAACTCTTCAGAACTCTAAAAATTTAGAGGTATAAATCCAGAACTCTGCATCCTAGCAGAAGTACCCATGATTGTCCCCAAAAGTGGTTTGTTTTTTCTCCCCCCCACTTTATAACATGTTACAAACTGTTCCTTTTACCTAATGCTATAATATATTGCTCCATCCTTCAGTTTTATACAGGCAGAATTCCCACTGGCATTCTGCTTAAGGACTTCAAGAACAGGCATAAGTGTTTTGTATTCTGAACCTCCACTGAGAGATGCTATCTGAGCAAAACTTAGAGCAAAAATATCACTAAAGCTTATGTCCTTCACCTTGAAATCATTAAAAAAGGTAAGAAAAGGAATAGGCTATTTGTTTCTTGCATTACTTTTTACGAGGTATGTCCTAGACATCAGAGCAACTCAGCACACAATCAAAACCCTACTAGTTCCTCAATTTAAATAAATTTAAACTGTGATCCAAATGGAAAGATATCTAGACATAGTAGATAGGCACAAAATACTCAAGTTGGGCTTCTGATCCTCCATCACTGTGTGGCCGCTTGCTTTTATTCATACCATATAAAGTAAGAGTTACTGTTAAGTGAAATAGGGCTACTTGCAGTCAGTTTAATCATTCCACTGATTCTGGAGTAAGTCAGTCTAGTGTTGTCTGTACTGTCTTCATCAAATATAACACCAACTTTACACTAAAGTGACTGTAGAACTATGCAGTACGTACGAGTTTGGTCCAAACTACAAACCTCAACTATCCAAAGGTTATCAAGAATGTATTGTTTGAATGATTTCACCTACCCTAAGCTGGAGAACACACCGGCGACAATTTCAACTTTGGCTATATATTGCTCTTTTTATGCAATACTACTGACGACAATAACAAAATCTGCTTGAATAAGGGATTTAGTCAAGACTACATGGACTGGAGATAGTAACCATGGGTGAAATAGTCTATGTCTACATTAGCAAGTAGTACAATACAAGCAGATTTGTTGAGGAAAAGAGTTTGTGCTGACAATCTATACTACATGTTCTAGGGTACAGTTTTGGACTAGCTCTCATCTGGTGCCAGGGCCTGAATGCTTCATCCTGGCTGCAGCACAGCAGATGCCCTCATGGAAGAAGTTTTCTGGTTCAGCTTCATCTAAAAGTAATTCAGTTTGCACGGTCCAGGATTGCTCTGTGATGTGAACCAAAGCATGAAAAGCAGGGATAGCTGAGAGATTCATGTCAGGAGAGCTCTCTTGATTTCCACTAAGATGCCAGTGTAAACATAGCCATAGAATTCCAGGTTTAGAAGTGTACATCACTCCTGCTGATGCTGAATATGTATTTAAATAGTTATTTGAGTTAAAAAATTACCCTAATGAAATTAATTACAGAGACTGCTCTTAGATTCAGGGTTTACATTAATCACAGGACTACAGTCAATGTCTAAGGTAATGACAGGTCCCCATTCTGTTGATAGGTTTAATTAGGATAATCTTATCTTCTTTTGGATTAAATGTTAGCTAATACCATGTTCTTTAGCTACTTTTAAGTAAAAAGAGCACTAATATTTGTCTGCTACTTCCTTGTTCCACAATGGCATTCATCTGGATCTGTGTTAGGTGTCATAAAAGAAAATTCAATAGTAATCAATAATAATGTAGGACTATAAGGTATCACTGCTGTTTTGGAAGAAATCTCCATTGTACTAAAGGGTAATACTTCCTAAATATCATAACACAACATTTTCAAAAAATAGTGCTTAAACCTGCCACAAAATAAATACAAAGACAAGTACATTACCTCACCTGCAGCTGTCCTGTGGCGTATGACCACTGAACAAGAAAACATCACATGATGAAAACATGTCTCTCATTTTTGCCTGTCAGTCACCTAACCCTTCTTTGGTAAGGAAACTGATAGAGGACCTGCAAAGGATTTGGTTCCCAGAACACCTGATCTGTTCTAGAAAGCATTTCAGCTGGAGTTTAAACTGAGCACCGCTAAGTAGTAAAAACAGATTGGACAAGAGACAAATGTTCACACTTAGACGAATGGCTTTCTTAATAGCACTTACCAGTCAAGTGCTTTTACAAAAGTTCTTGCAAGAACACTGAAACATCTTGCATGGAGCATGGGGACACTGTGGGGGACACTGGAGGACTGGTATGGCTAGAACAATAACAGGAAGAAGTGACAATCAGTTCTTGTTCCTTGGTTCAAATGCAACAGAGTTCATCTGGCTATTTGCACCAGACTACCAAAACACTTTCCTGACAAGACACACTTATCATCTTCTTGGGTGCGTTGCCTTCTGACTGCTCCCAAGAAGAAGAGAAGATTGGTATTTGGATGGCAATGGGAAGAGATCCAAAGATCAACAAAGATAGCAATACATAGTAACTTCTTTTTCAGGAAAGTCTGAAAAATGATTACACATCGGATGTTCATGTGGCAGGCGAGTGGGTAATAGCATCACTGAAAACCTCAGTAGAGACCTGTTGGTTCCAGGATAAAAATTAAGATGGAGTTGGACTGGAATTAAATCTTTTGCTACTGACATTCTTCCTCATTAAGTGTGAACAAGAAGTATTGTATATATGATTTATTATATCTCTTTTTTTACATAGTTTACTAAAATATGTCTTGTTTACTTACAGTTTCCAGCCCTTCTTGCCCCTTTGCTGTGTTTGCATTTCTTGGTCAATCTGTGCTGGCTACTTTGAAAGAAAAAGGCATATTGCATTTTTTTGCTTTTAAAATATTTTTTGCATGATCAAAATATTAAGATTTATTTTCTATCCAAGTGATTCAAAAGCTATTTGAATGAAAAAGCCAGTTAGGTAAGCCCTGGATATTTTTACTAGTCTGAATATATTTGCAATAGGGCTTCAAAAAAAACAACTGGTTTTGTACTGGACTGTGGTTTAGAGGTTGAAGGAGTTAATTAAATAATTTGAAGGTAAACCTTGAAGGAAACAGAAGCTCAGTCAAAATGTAGGGGAAGAGGTCTGCTTTTAAAAGAACTTGTTTTCCAAGGAATACAAATATGTTGCCAGGTGTTACCTGTTAGGAAATGACTCCAGAATCCAACTGTCAATTTGATTTATGAATGTTACAGGTGAAAATACAACTGTCTATACAGAGTTTGGGTTATGTAATAGTGTGCTAAAAAGCTCTTCAAGTCAGTTGCTCTAGTATTAGATCAGATATCACCTCTCTAAAATGAATAATGTTTGAATTTTGAGACCAATTGTGAAGTGAGGACACAGTGCATCAGATTGCTGCGTTAGCACAGAGGCTCCTATGTTCTATACAATGTAGCATTAAAAGGCCTTTTGTGTTTTCATTTAAAAAAGTGTATTTCATATAAATTCTGTAGTGCAAAAACTTCCTACACCATGTTACATTCTTTACATTACACTGTATGCTTCCCCTGTAAACAGCTTTCCTGTAGGAACTTCCTTTGCAGTTTGTGCGATATATTATTGCCCCCATCCCACCCAGATTTGAATTAATGTGACTATTACTCAAAAACTGTTCTAATTACTCTGTGAACATTTTTTAAATATGTGCATTTGGTTTCATCATTGAAAAGGAATTAAAACTTTGATTCAGGATTCTGATTTTCATAAAAAATATAAAAATAGATTAATTGCAAAACTATCTCCCTGAACATTCTTTATTTTCCAGTGATATGAGGAATCAGACCCCTTTCAGGTGCACAGGGGAGTCACTTCTTCCTAAGACTCCTTAAGTTGTTTTGAAATCACAAAGCTGAAATTGGAGACTGACTCCAGAACTCAAACACATTCTCCCCTTACTGTGGTGAATGGGTAATATGTCTGAAATGTCTTCAAAGTTTTAGAAAACCAGAAAAATATACTTGTGTAATTTTGCATAATTTGCTGCATATCAATTCATGATGAATGAAATGTTCCTGGATTGCACTTCTTACACCTGCTGTACTGGATTGAAATCTAAGTCCAGTCCTGCAACTGCTCAAGTAGATGTTTTAATCAGGAATTATGCACGAGCTAGGTATCCAGAAATGGGATCCTGTACATGCAGTCAAGACTGGAAAAACTATATGTCTAAAACTGTGCTTCTGGAAATAGTATTCAGCATAGTCAAAAGTATTTAATGAAATTATACCAAAAGTACTTCCAAAGCTCAATCACTTTGCTTCCAAGATTTTAAAAAAAAAAAATAAAAATCATCTGTTAATGAAGTGAATTATATTTCTTTTGCTTCAAAATAAATGTGCTTCTCTGAAAACATTTAAAATACAGTGGCCAATAAGGGCCTGGTCTTTCATCTGATTTATATAGTTAAAGCTCCTGTTGATTTTCATCAAGAGGGAGAGAGTTTTGCCATCCTCATTTATATTTCAGTCAGTCTCTTTTTCCACTGACTCCCATTGGTTTGAGGGGAAATTCATCTGCACAAGAATTGAGGCCTTAATTTTACCACTTTTGAATTTTTAGTGATTTTAATAGGGCAGAATAAACTTTGCATAAAGTTTAGCTCAGAAGAGCTTAAGGAATCAAATCTGTTCCTGCAATGTGATCCCTATGGCTGGACTCCTCCCTTTCCATCAAGTGGCACAGGTCCGAGGGGGGCTTTTCCAAAGTGTAAGGGTCACCTGGGAGAAGAAGGACACAAACCTCAATCTTGCCAGAACACCATCATTGTCTTGAAAGAGAATTTTCTGTGGATCCAGAGTACGGAACCAGGTCCCATTTGGTCTTAATTTGGACTTCAATAGTTCACTAGGATGTAAAGGCAGTTGAACAGGCCCATGTGGTTTCATAAAACTGCACATAGAAAATACAAACCAACACTTCAGGCATATAAAAATTGACTGGCATTTGGTTTCAGTCACCGAAAATATCCAGGAACTAAAAAATAAATATAGAAGATTAATGACTATAAAATATCAAGAGCTAAATTTTGGGACAGTGAGACAACATGATTGAAAAATGTTACGCAGAATGCCATATAAATACACAAAACTGAATGCAGCAACAAGTTGCAATGAACTGCAACTAAAGAAAAAAATTATTTTGAGAATTAATGACCAGATATTGTTGAAAAAACCTCATTATATTCCCAGATATTCAAATGACTGAAGAGACAGTTCAATATTACCTTGTTACAGACATTAGAAAACTTATGGAAATATAGAAAACGGGTTTTTTTAACCAAATGATAGTGCTGTGCTCATTGTTAGGCCCAGTCACCAGGATCCTTATTTTGGGGCTCTTCAAACTTGCCTCTTTTCCATGGGGCTGGCTTGAGTGAGGTCTGTGACATCAGTCCAGCCATTTCAATCAAAGGGCAATGTTGCAAGAAAAATGATTGCTCCTTTACATTAAATGCATTAGGTGCCTGGTTGCTACTTATTTAAGTGACAGAAAATGACAGATGAGTAAAAATTAACCTAGATCCACTATGGTAAGTAGAAGCCTGATGTTCCAAACCATGCATTGGTTGGTCTAAAGTGCTTTTAAGGCTTCCTAAGAAAAAAAAAGGGGAATATTTTGCAGGATGGGCCTGTGTAACTGCATACGTTTGCTTACGATTAGAATTCATGAATTGAATAAGTTTTTTATTATTTTGGGAATTAAAGCAATCTGTAAGTTTTTTTTATATTATAGCATAGGAAGCTAAGGATGCTGGATAAAATAAAAAATAGCTTTTTTTCAGACAGCAGTTTGAGGGGTACTTTGTAATGAAGGCTTTGGTTCAGCATCTTTCTTTTACAAAGCTGGAGAAGTCAGAGAAACCAAAGATGCTTTGGTAGTTGTCAGTGGAATGATTGACATTTTCCTTTATTTAAGTATAGCAGAAAGCCTATACTCCAATTTGGAACAACAATGGAAGGATGGGTTGAGGCAAAGTTGGTGAGTCAAGTGATATCTTCTGTCAGTTCAAATCACTGAACTCAAAACCACAGACAAGCTTTGGGGTGTGGAAGACCTGGGGCAAATCACATATACTTGAAGCCTGTTTTTCTTCAGCTATATGATTCATAACAACAAAAGGTACCACTTCCCCCTACAAAACTTGTCTCTTACGTCCTCACACCACAGTGGCTTCAACAACATTGCCATTACTGAAGTATGAGCAATGCACGTAAAACAAAAGGAAAGAGCTCAAAAACCACGTAGAAGCAAAAAGTGTTAAATCAAAGGAAAAAAAGTGAACGTGGAAAATATTTTTTAATACCAAATTATATTCCAAGAGATTGAAAACTTTTGTATATATCTGTATAGCCATTTGGCACTATTTATTGCCACAGAAATAACTATGGTGTGTAAATTTTAAAATGGAACTTTTTCTTCAGTTATGAAATGTTGGCAGTTTTCTATAAAAATATCCAATGCTTCAAGTTCTGGTCATTAAATCTTTGCTTTTCCTCAGGACCATTAATTAAACTGACAAATGCAATAACTGAAGTTATGCAAATAAAAAAACTATCATGATTTACAGCACAGATAAACTAAAATACTGTAGTCATTAATTAACAGATATACTCATGAGCTTTTTAACAGAAAGCAAAATACGTGAGATGCTTTAAGTAGAAGTTGCAATTTTGCAACATAAGTCTGTACAAAACCTCCAGGCAGCACGCTGTGAAGGAAGTACCTGTGTCCCAGGAAATGCTTTTTCCATAAATCCTTTTTAACAGTAGCTGTACCCCCAACCCCCAACTATTTACAAATATATGCATTTTGCAAGCTCAAAGCACCTTGTTTCACATCTTTATGAATGCATGCATTGACATTTCATCCTTTCATGTGCAAATTCTAAAATTCATTGTAACCAAGAAAAAAAAAGTTAAAAGAGTTCAAAACCTGTCTACAATCGTAAGTGAAAGGATCAAAAATGTCAGATGTTGCAGAACACTGGCTCCTAACAGAGCTCTCTTTATTTTATTCACCATTCTTGAGTAATTTTTTCCGTTTTTTTTCAGTTTGTTACAAAAAGCAGTCTTTTTTTTTTTTAAATTAAACAGTATTTAAACTAAACAACTCTTCATGCCATGCAAAAATAACATTTTATGCACTTTTGTTGAGGCTTTCCATGTTTTAGTTCATAGGCATTACTAACAGTGTTTTATGAAAAGGTATTTTTATTGCTTCTGTAACTAGTCACATGCTAGTTTCACGTGTGGGACAATAACCAGTTTCTCCTGGACTTGAATGAATTTCTGGGGCAAACAAATGGTTTTCCATTTTGTGACCTTCTTGGTTACTGTCTGGCTTTACCTCACCCACAGCATGGTAAATGTCTTGAGTACAGTTGTGGCTCAAGCTTTTGGGTGAAGAGCTGACCTGTGGCTCCTCTGTTAAATTGTTGCTGTCACTGTGTTTATCCCCACAGCAATTTGTCTTGATATCCTGTTGTTTTTCATGTTTCATACCATGTAACTCCATAAACTCTTCTTCTTCTCCAGTGTCTATTTCAGTGAAGCTCCTTCTCTCTTTTGAAGGGAAAGTGAAAATCTTTTGCTTGGGAAAGAGAGGGGATGATCTTTTAACAGGTCCCTGACAAAGTGCAGACGCATCAGCACCAAGTACAGGTCGTTCACCCTGTGGGGAATTTTCTTCTAGGAGAATGGTGCTGATGTGCTGGGGGGTGGCCTGTGTGAAGTCTGCTCCTGCTATCACTGGCAGTGGCCTTGCCGTGCTTGGTGGAGTTTGTGGAGCACCACCTCTATTGTCTTTAAAATTAACTTTAAGGGATCTAGATTTTAATGGGTTGCTACCTTTCAGGGAACTTTTGGGGCTTTCCATGGAAGTGTCAAAATGCAAATGACCATGTAAAACAGTTTGGGACCCACTGCCATCACTGATAACAGCTCTGTTGATTGGATTATAGTCAAAGGTGATGTCAGTTGGAGAAAATCCTCTGTCTTTTGCAAATGGTATAAACTGAGAACTTCTCGCTCTTTGGTTTTCTTCCAGGTTAACAGTATCAGTTGGAAATCTCATTTGCAAGTGAGAGCCAGGAAACAGAGAGAGGGGAGACCTCTCTGTTTCTGTGAAGTCAGTTGCACAACTGGCAAAACTGTCGATACTGGATGTGCTTCTCATGTCCGTTATGATGTCCGCAGGTCCAGTTGGTAACGGATCTCTCTGACCTGAAACTTCTTCCATTTCTATTTCTTCTTCATACATGGGTGGCTTTGCAGACTGGTCTTGGTAACCAGCATTAAGGTTAGGCTGAGACTGAGTTTTAGTAATTTCATTATACAACATCTCCAGTTTTTGGGCACTGAGGTGCTGAGGGCTGGAGGATGCTGCAGCATTGTTTAATTGCTCATGGGAGTCTTGTTGACTAACTTCTTGGTACTTGTTCTCATAAGACTTGTTTGAGCTTGTTTCAGACATTGTCCTTCTGGCCCATTTCCACCGGCTTGGGGAGAGGTGGTTGTCATCAGATGTCTCCTTTGGACTGACTGCTTCTCCAAGCTTACCTGAATCTACTGCTACATCTATCATTTCCATGCTGCGAGCAAAGGCATCTTTAAGATTCATGGAGACAATACTGCCATTTCTTTTAGCTCGCTCAAGTGCTTCTCTCCTCTTAATTGCCTTCTCCTGTCTTTTCTGCTCCTTATAAAACTCTGAGAAATTGTTCACAATAATTGGTATGGGCAGGGCTATGACCAGCACTCCAGCGATACAGCAAAGTCCTCCAACTATTTTACCTAATAAGGTCTTAGGATAAATGTCACCATATCCTACAGTAGTCATAGTGATTGTTGCCCACCAGAATGATGCAGGGATACTTGTAAATTTTGTAGCATCCTCATCCTTTTCAGCGAAGAATACAAGACTCGAAAATATCATTATTCCCATGGCTAAAAATAATATCAACAAGCCTAATTCATTGTAACTCCGCCTGAGTGTAAAACCTAAAGACTGAAGGCCTGTTGAATGTCTGGCAAGCTTAAGAATCCTTAGGATCCTCATAATACGAAATATCTGAACCACACGTCTGACGTTTTGGAACTGCAGGACACTTTTATTGGACTCCGTGAGGAAAATGGTGACATAGTATGGCAAGATAGCCAGTAAGTCAATGACATTTAATGGGCCTTTGAAGAACTTCCACTTATTTGGTGAGGACAGAAAACGCAAAAGGTACTCCATGGTAAACCAAGCAATACACACAGCTTCAACGTGCGCTAGCTGAGGGTTGTCATTTGGCTGCCCAAATTCATCTATTTCTTGCAGCTCTGGCAATGTGTTAAGAGACAAAGCAATAGTGGACAGTACGATGAACAGAATGGATACAATGGCCAAAATCTGTAAAACAAAATAAACAATATTTTGGTTAGACTGATAGAAATGTACTTGTCAGGGCTTGCTTAAATCCTTTCAAATGTGCATGTGTCAAATAAACACAGAATGGTGGAAGCTGCTTTGGCTGCTACATTTATTATTTTTTTTATTTTTTTGAATTTTGCACAGAGAGAAAACATTAGAATCATCTTAAACATGGTCAAAACCTGATTGCTTTACTGCCTGCAGTAAACCAATTCATTTCAGAAAGCAAGCCATGACTGGTCTTACCATTTCAAAATTACAGTAGGAGGTGATATTTATTATTGCATGTTACCAAGTGAATATATAGTTCCTGCTAATGTGATGAACATTTTTAATTTTCTGCATTAATTGTAATTATGTAAAACTTTACACAGTGCAGAGAATTGATTGGGAATGACTGTGTTTAAGCTGTTAATTTAGTACTACATAGTGCACACCTTTCTAGACAAGCATAAATTTACGAGCTGAAAGTCAAAGTTAAGAAGAATAAACAAGAATCAATGTTCAGGAGACTAGTCCTGCCTAATTGTCATATCTAAAAAAATTTCAGATGCTACAAGAATTGAAGACATTGGCCCTGAATTAGGTTGAGAACAAGATGTTAAAAAGAAAGTAGTATGAAGGAGAACTCAGTTTTTCTTATCATTATTAAAATGCATAAGTACAAAATTGCTTCCTAGAAATGAAGTTTTGATTTGCCTAAGGATATAGGTTTTCTGATAAATTTTGTTACTTATTTTCATAGAATCATAGAATCTTAGAAACATTAAGGTCAGAAAATATCCCCAAGATCATCAAGTCCAACCTTTGACCAAATGCCACCATGCCACTAAGTGCCATGCTAGTCATTTCTTGAACACACCAAGGGATGGTGATTCCCTAGGCAGCCTGTTCCAATGCCTGACAACCCTTTCAGTGAAGGAATTCTTCCTGATGTCCAAGCTGAACCTCCCCTGGCACAGCTTGAGGCCATTTCCTCTTGTCCTGTCACTAGTTGCCTGGGAAAAGAGGCCAACCCTCACCTTGCTGCCAACTCCTTTCAGGTAGCTGTAGAGAGTGATGAGGTCTCCCCTGAGTCCCCTTTACTCCAGGTTGAAAAACTCCAGCTCCCTCAGCCACTCCTCATAGGACTTGTGCTCCAGTTCCATCACCAGCTCTGTTGACCTTCTCTGGACACACTCCAGCACCTCAACATCTTTCGTAGTGAGGGGCCCAGAATAGGACACAGCACTTGAGGTGTGGCCTCACCAGTACTCACCGAGTACAGGGGGACGATCACTGCCCTCGTCCTTCTGGCCACACTATTTCTGATCCAAGTCATGATACCACTGGCCTTTTGACGACCTGGACACACTACTGGCTTGTGCTCAAATGGCGGCTAAGCAGCACTCCCACGTCCTTTTCCACTTGACCACTTTCCAGCCACTGTTCCCCAAGCCTGTAGCACTATATGGGATTCTGGCCAAAGTGCAGGACCTGGCACTTGGCCTTGTTGAACCTCATACAGTTGGCTTCAGCCCATCAATCCAGCCTGTCCAGATCCCTCTGTAGAGCCTTTCTACCCTCCAGCAGATCAACACTCCCATCCAACATAGTGCTGACTGCAAACTTACTCAGGGAGCACTCGATCCCTACATCCAGATCATTGTTGAAGATATTAAACAGGATTGGCCTCAATACTGAGCCTTGGGAAATCCCACTAGTGACAGGATGCCAGCTGGATGTAGTATCCTTCACTACCACTACCCAGGCCTGGACATCAAACTAGTTCTTAACTCAGCAAAGAGTACACCTGTCCAAGCCATGGGCTGCCACTTTCTCCAGGAGAATGCTGTGGGAGACAGTATCAAAGGTTTTATTGAAATCCAGGTAGACAACATCCACAGCTTTTCCCTCACCCACGAACCAGGTCATCTGGTCATAAAAGGAGATCAGGTTGGTCAAACACGACTTGCCTTCCCTAAACCTCTACTGGCTGGGCCTGATCCCCTGGTTGTCCTGTACATGCCATGTGATCACACTCAGGATGATCTGTTCCATAACCTTCCTGGCACTGAGGTCAGGCTCACAGGCCCGTAGTTCCCTGGATCATCCTTCTGACCCTTCTTGTAAATGGGTGTCACACTGGACAACCTCCAGCCATCTGTGACCTCCCCAGTTAACCAGGACTGATGATAAATGATGGAGAGTGGCTTGACAAGTTCTTCTGCCAGTTCTTTCAGCATCCTCAGGTGCATTCCATCTGGCCCTATAGACTTGTGAATGACTCAGCAGGTCACTGATTCCTCCTGGATTGCAGAGGGTTTATTCTTTTCCCTGTCCCTGTCTACCAGCTCAGGGGGCCAGTTGCCCTGAGGATAAACGGTCTTTCTGTTGAAGACTGAGGCAAAGAAGACATTAAGTTCATCAGCCTTTTCCTCATCCTTGGTGACAATGTTCCCTCCGGCATCCAATAAAGGATGGAGATTTTCCATATCCGTCTTTCTGTTGTTGATGTATTTATAAAAACACTTTTCATTATCTTTCACAGCAATGGCCAGATTGAGTTCTAGCTGAGCCTTCTCCTTTCTAATTTTATCTCTACATGGCCTAATGACATCCTTGTAATCTTTCTGACTTGCCTGCTTCTTCTTCCAAAGGTGTTATACTCTCTTTTTTTCCTGAGTTCCTATGAAAACTCCCTGTTCAGCCAGGGTGATCTTCTTCCCTGCCAGCTTGTCTTTTGACACATAGGGAGGGCTTGTCCCTATGCCTTTAAGATTTCCTTCTAAAAGTATGTCCAGCCTTCCTGGACCCCATTGTTATTAAGAATGTTTCTGAACTCTCTGAACCAGTGTTCTGAACAGGCCAAAGTCTGCCCTCTGGAAGTCCAAGGCAGAGGTTTTGTTGACCTCTTTCCTTACTTTAAAGCTCAGTTGAAGCTCATTCATAAAAACATTTACTCTCATTTCTCAGAAATGGTACTGTTAAATCCACTTGGTGATGTTCCAAGAACACACTAAGTCTGACAAAATTGCTGGAACACTGAAGAAGACTGAAATGCAGTTAAGCAGAAAGCAAGTATGAAGGTTGTATGCAGAGAAATTGGTCACAGTGGTGATAATGGCTACAGAGATGGAAAGGCCACCCCACTGTAGCTTTGAGAAAAATATCAGTAAACTTGTTTTATCTATGGGTTACTAATCAAAAATTCAGCTCTTTAAGTACAAACTGAAATTGGTCATGGTGTGATGGTCTGTATTTGGCATCATCTTGTACTTATATGCTATCTTTGGCCTTTTTCAGCTACTAATTGTACAGAACAGGTATCACCTTTAATATTCCGAATTATTCCAAACATATTTATTTGTATTTCTCCCTACCAGTGCTGATTCTCTCTCTCTCTCTCTCTTTTTTTTTTTTTAACCATATTTACTGGAGAAATAAGATCTGTTAATTTCTCCTGCCAAGTGAGTTGGTGGACCACCTGTCTTCATTCTTCATATAGCCCATTCAAGAAACATCCTTAGGTTAATCTATCCTATTTAGGACGGCTATACATCCCTTTAAAATTTCTGCTACCCATATCAGCAAAAGAAGACAATCTTAGTAAAGAATGAGGGCAATAACACTGCATACCTGGGCAGGGCTAATTAACGAAATTTGTGATGTCTTGTAGCTAGGACAGAAACAGACAAAGGGCAACACTATAAGAGAGCAATAATTGCCTTTCAAACTGTGAAAGGTGCCTGTATCAGATTTCACTGGAATAAAACTACAAGCTGAAATCAGGTATACTAGGTTATCCATGTCACTGAAATCACTGTGAAATAGCTAATGCAGGCTTGAATTCTCTAAAGTACTCAATAGCGTAATTATATTTTCAGAATTCAAAGAACAAATGAACAAGACAGAGGTCTGAATTGTTGAGCTTGCAGTTTCTGTCAAGCTGATGGAGCCCCATTGGGGCTGGCATCAGAATGTAAATAACAGCATTGGAAAAAGCTGTATAATACCAGGACCCAATTACTTGACATGCATTGTTCATTAAAAAAAGAAAACTGTAAGAACTTATCTGCCCAATTGTCATCAAACTGATTTTAATTAGGAAACACTGGCATTTCACTCTGTCATGAGGAATTTACTTTATGCCTAAACATCCACCAGCACACAAAAGATCCTAGAAAAGAGGTGAGTCAGTGAACGTGACATCGCTAAAACTACATGCATTTTATAGGTCTTGAACACAAAACTGTCCTGTTCAGAGTTGCCACCCAGGGTGTTTTATTGAAAACAACCATCTATATGTTTGTTCCAGCCATTCATTCACATGCTCATAACACACAAGCCTGAAGTCTGCCAGTTATTTTAGTAAAAAAATAGCAGTATATTCCAGTCTATCAAGCCTGGAATTTTTAGTGTTTTATCTGTTTCATCTATAAGCATGAGTCTGTTCTTGGTGAAAAAAAATTACAGCAAAGTACAGTAGTTTGGTTTCTTCTAATGTAAGAATCTAAAACTTTTGTTTGTCTGAGACACTGTTATGTAATTAAAGTTATGCATCATTCCACATAGACTATGTTTTAATTATTGCAATTGATTAGATTTCACAACACATTAAGCATAAAAATGCCAAGGGAATATCAGGAAGAGCAAGAAAAACTATGAGAAAAAGAATTAAAAAAGGAACTCCCTATTCTGAGTCTACTATCTACAAAGAAGACTTTGCAGATAGTACTATGCTGGTAAATTATCATAGAACAGATGTATCTTACATTAACAGAAGCACAGAGTTTATAAGAAAGACCTGTAGCAATCTGCATGGCTGGCTACGCTGAAGAGTAAAAAACCACTGCTGACTGAATCTTTCCCAGGAAAATTTACTGTTTTCTAGGCATATTTCTGGAACTGTATTCTAGACTGAAATAACTGGAAAATTTGTGTCCTCCAGGTAATTAAACTATGACCAGTTCTTGACATAGTATTTTTAACCTGCATTT